TCTATCAAAAATGAATAGATAAGATGAAGCATTAACTTTTTATGATTTAGGGATTAAATTAAACCCTTAAGATTCAGAAAATTATGTTGATAAAGGTATTCAAAAAAAAATTATTAAATTTAGCTAATAACTTATTGAATGGAAGAAACTTTAAAGTTTTATGAATGATATGAATAAATTTGAAGAAGCATTAAAAGAGTATGATTACGCAATTAATATAAACATTCAAGATATTATGGAAACAAAGGTCTTAATAATATTATTAATTTTTAGCTTATACTTTAGTTAAAATGAATAGATTTCCAGAAGCATTAGAATAGTATAAATTAGCAATTAATAATAATCGAGAAAATTCTATATACTTCTTTAATAAAGGTATGAAAAAATAAATATTAAATTTAAGCTGCTACTTTAAATTAAATGAATAGATTTGAAGAAGCATTAGAATATTTTGATTATGCTCTTTAGAGAAATTAAAATGATTCAAGTTATTAAACAAATAAAGGTATAAGCAAGAAACAAATATAATTTTTTTAGCAGAAGTTTTAATTTAATAAAGCTAGGGCTGTTATGTTAAAAAAAAAAAAAAATTTTAAGAACCTCAATAATAGGAGAATAATGTAATTCAGAATAACCTAGATAATTCAAACTATTAATCTATTAAGTAATAAAATATTAATAATTTTTTTAGCTTGAAATGAATGATTCATAGTGAGATTATCAAATATTTAAATCATCTAAAGAAAGCAAGAAATTTTTATATATTATTTCATTTATATTTGATCCAATCGTTTGGATTTAGCTTTACCATAAAACTCAAATCCTATATCCATAGTCTCAAATGTATCTTACTCATTAAAGTTTTCGTTAAGGAATATGGACTCAATTATTTAAAGAGGCCAAACTGCATTGAATCTTCCTAACAAGATATTTCAGAAATGTATTCTGTTCTGCCCCAAATTTACATCGTAGACCATTTATTCTTGCAAGTCTTGTTCTTTTATAATCTAGGTTATGGTTGGTTAATAATTGCAAAGATAAGCCTGCCTAACTTTATTAAAAAATCCGAGATATGAGGATAGCAAAAGAAAGAGAGGATATGATTGGAAAATCCCTTTTAAATAAAATTACTTGTCCAAAAGCTACATCATTATAAAGAAATAAAATTTAAGCTTTGAAATTTAAAAAATAGAGAACCTAAAACTATGCCTCTTTTCATAAATAATATAGTTGAACTGATCAACCAAAAAAATTCAAAAAATTTCAAATTTAAATTAAATACTGAGCAAAAATATATAATGTAATCAATTTTTTTTTTGATTTAATTTGGAAGAATTGATATGATTTAATTGAGATTGGTACAACTGAATAACATTGCTCCAGAATTTTCAGATGCAAATATATAAAACCCATCACGATGGTCGCTATATAAATTTTATGGAATGGACTATCATGGAGAGATAAAATCTGATTGATTTTGAATGTAAATACCTGAGTTTATTTGTAAAATTGATCAAAAGGATGCAATTCCAAAGTTTCAGTTAGATATGTCTTATAGTTTTTCAAATGGCTTCTATAAATCATCTCAAGGATGAATAGAAGGATATATCAACAAAATCTATGAATAAATTTATAGCCAGAAATTAAGTTTCTACATTGATATTCTCTAAAATATGAATTGCAAGGAGGATGAATTAGTTTACAGCTATTTTTTATTAAGAAATTAAATCTTTCATAATGTTAGATGATTTTAAAGAAGTAAATAGATTGTAGTGATAAAATAATCAAAAAGTAATTTAATAATTCAGGATGTTAAGGCAAAAATGTTCTTAAAATTAATTCAATTAATTAATGCACAAATTAAGTTAAAGAATATCTTAAATAATGTTAAATAGAAAATTCAGAAGGTTAGAATTACTTATATAAATATTGAGATCTATTCCCTTTTAGCCTCCAATTCTAAACGAATAAGATATTTAAATATACTTTTCTTAGTTATAGACTATGCTATCCAAATTTTTATTTTCTACCTTATATAAATTCTTCATAACATAAAATTATAAAATCTATTTAATAATAATATATTGATTACTCTTCAATATTTCAATGTAATTTTATCAATTTATCAATTTTACTTCCTTATCTACAATAGGTTCCCTTTCCTCTAACATATTACAAGAAATTGTAAATAGTGTGTATTTAAGATGTAGCATACTCACCATCCCATGTTTTAACAATCACTTTATGAAAAGAACTTTACTCCCTCATTTTTATTTACATTTATCTTTCTATTTCCATTATAAGAATCATTATCATTTTCTTATTAATAGATTTATCGTTTTTTTATATAATCCTTAATTTATCATAACTTATGATGATTAATGATTTAGTCCTAAATTTTTTTTTAATTCCTTCCATTTAACTTCAATTTTATACCTAAATAGTTTACCTTTTATTGTTGATAACTTTTTTCCAAACAACACTTAATTTTTATTTGTGTTTAAATAGTCTAATTTTAATCACTTTTGGTAAACTAAGAAAATAATATTATCATTATTAATAAACACGGTTTAGGATTTAAATAATAATTATAGACAAATAAATATTTATTATAAAATTTTATGGGATCTAATATGGTTTATTTATTTGGTAATTATTTTAATCTAAGTTAATACATTAGAATATCATAAGGATAATTCATGTTAAGACTATAAAAAAAGAAGACGGGTTCGTTGTTCTAAAACATTAGAATATTTGTTTTACAATATAATAATCTTAATACATCATCAATAATGTGTACTTGAGGGGAACTAATTAAGTCACATAAAATTAGATTAAAAATATGTTTCCATACAGAAATGATCTGATATAATTAGTTATTATTATTNTAGTTTATAACGAAATGAAGTAATTCTTTTGATTATACAGCTATTTTTTATTAAGAAATTAAATCTTTCATAATTTTAGATGATTTTAAAGAAGTAGATAGATTGTAGAGGCAAAAAATCAAAAAGTAATTTAATAATTCAGGTTGTAAAGGCAAAAATGTCCTTAAAATTAATTCAATTAACTAATACACAAATTCAGAAGATTAATTACAGTATTTTATTTCTAAATTGGAATTACTTATATAAAAATTGAGATCTACTCCCTTTTAGCCTTGAATTATAAACGAATAAGATATTTAAAAATTGTTTTTTTTCTTATTTTTAGACTATGCTATCCAAATTTTTATTTTCTACCTTATATCACATAAAATTAGAAAATCTATTAATAATAAAATCTTGATTACTCTCCAATATTTTAATGTAATTGTATCAACTTATCAATTTTACTTCCTTATATACAATAGGTTCCCTTTCCTCTAACATATTACAAGAAATTTTAAATAGTGTGTAATTAATATGTAGCATACTCACTATCCCATGTTTATAATTTTTTCCATTTTTATTTGTACTAAATATGTTGCTTAACAGTCACTCTATGACAAGAACTTTACTCCCTCATTTTTATTTACATATATCCTTTCAATTTCCATTATAAGAATCACTATCATTTTCTTATTAATAGAGTTTATTAATACAATCCTTAAATAATCATAACATATGATGATTAATGATTTAGTCCTAAAATTGTTTTTAATTCCTTCCATATAACCTCAATTTTATACCTAAATAGTTCTCCTTTTATTGTTGATAACTTTTTTCCAAACAACACTCAATTATTTATTTATTTTTTAAATAGTTTAATTTTAATCATTTTTTGGTAAATTGAGAAAATACTATTATCATTATAAATTAACACAGTTTACAACATATTAATAATATTTTAAAACTTAACAACAGGATTATCTATTAATAGGTGTTAATTCTCTTTAATAAATAAGTAACAAAGAATACTCACTAATTTACATTAACAGAATTTCAAATTAAAATATATTTTTGTTAAAAGATATTAAATTAGATTAAAATATTATAATGGAATGCTTCTCATTAAAAATTAAGACTTTAAATCAATTAAATTTTTAAAGCATAATTGTTATTATAATTTAATCAAAAGAAATGGATGTTTGCATTTCTTATAATTAACAGAAATTTCAACTAAAATATAAATTGAGAATTCTAATATCTTTTTAATAATTGTAGTTGGGGAGTAGCTTTTTTCTCATGATGTCTTAGAGATTCCAATTCATTTGGCTATTTATCTGAATTTCATAGAGAATCCTTCAGAACCTTACATATTAAATAATACCAATATTAAAAGGTTGGATCTTAAGAGTTATCGGATGATTGAATAAGGAAAAATATATATATACAAATGATTTCATAATACCAAGTAATCAAATTAAGGGTATTATTCAGTTTCATATAACGAAACAAAATGTTCATTTTTCAAAGACAATTACTGTGATATTACTTCAAATATGATAAACTTGTTACTAGCGTTTTGGAGACCCAATAATTTATCATTATTGAATAAACTAGTGATAGTTCTTTGTTTTTAACTTTGCAGGATTAGTTAAAAAGTATATATTGTTGTTTCTAGGAGAGAAGTATCAAATACTAATTATATTCTGATGTTTCTATAATATATTTTACTCAAGATCATTATTAAAGGATGTATTATTTTATATATTCCTGGATTGATTGTGATGAGTGTTATGATTCCATTAATAATTGTTATTTTATTGATGATAAATTAGAATAGATAAAATTAAAAATTAGAAGACATATTCATATTTATTGAATGAATACAAAATGGAAGGATTTTATTGGGAATACATTAAATTATTTAAGAAAGCAATCTTAATATTTATTCTGACCAATTTTGAAACTGAAATTGCTTTGAAGGCTTCTCTATTAGAATTATCTTTATTAATGTATCAGATTAGCAGAATTTCATTAAACATTCATTAATCAAAAATTAATAATTTAGATTTATAGAGTAGTTTAATTTGCTCAATATAAATTTATAGCATTAACTAAATAAATTTGTGAATAAAAGGATTACTTTGATCCTTCAAAGCTGATATAAATTATCATTATTGAACCTTTTATTAAAATGTGTTACCCTTCTATTTTTGACATATTAAGAAGTTATGTTAAGCTTTATAAATTCTAATTTTTAAATAATTGCATAAACTTCTAAATTTTAAAGTAAAGTTAATTCTATAATAAAGATGTAATATTTCAGAGAAATAAGAATCAAATATCTTTTTATGAAATTGAGAAAGTATCTGATATAATTTCAAGAATATCATTAATAAACTCAAAGTAATTTAGAGAATTGATATCTTTCTAAAGTTCAAGGAATTCAGAGTTAAAAATCGATTACCGCAAGGAATGAGTTATAAGTTATGAGCTATATTTAATTCATAATATGGCCTCTGAGGATTCTAAAAAAAAGTAAATTTCTAGTTTTGAAAGAAATGATTATGATAATTGAAAAGAAAGATATTGTATTAAATTTCTAAATTATTAATATGAGATTACAAAGTTTAATCCTTTTTTATATAGGATAGATATACGTAATTTATCGACAGACTAATTATTTATAAGTCCATTTGTCTTTTCTCTTAAACAGCGTATCTCGGTCTCTATTTTCTTATTTTTTCTCTTGTCTTCTCTACAATACTTTTTTATTTAACATTTAGGTGTTACTCATTATAGTACAGAATCATTTCTAGCATCATGATGGAAAAATATCATCAATAAACTTATCTGGTGTAACTTTGCTAATTTTTAGGATTTTTAATAGATAATCTATACAGTAAAAGCTTAAAATTTCTCTAAATTCTTAAAGAACGAGGAACATTTAGAGTTAATTTATTTATCTTTTCTTATATTCCTCCTATATGAGATTAATACCTTTAAGTATTTTCTTATAAAGAAGTTATTGAGAATTTTAAAATGTTATTATATTGAAATTCAAACATCTAACCCATTTTGTTATGATTTATATTTTAATATAGAATCTTCTACACTATCATAAAAGCAAAATTATACCATCACTTTAGTAAATTAAAATATTCAATAAAATATTACAATTAGTTTTCTTATAGATTTTCCACACACTATGATTGTAGTTTTGATAGATCCTGATAATAAGGATTAGATTTAGTCTACTTGCTTTTGTGAATAATCAGCATCAATAGAATTCAATATTTTTTTATTATAATTACATATAAAATAGGATTTATTTAAAATACTTTTTATAACCCTGTTTATAAAAGATATCTTGAAGAATCCATTTTAATCTTTACAATTCTTTAAAATTGATATTTTGAACCTTCATCTTGAATAATAGTAAATCTTCTTGGTTTAGGTGCTAGATCTTTTCCAAAATTGCATCTCCATTCTATTATTTGCTTTAAAATTTAGAATATTCTTTTTTCTTTCTCTTCATAATAAATTCATATTTTATTAGAATTATAATTATAAAGTTACTATAAAAAATAGATTTATAATTAATAAATAACCATTTAGAATAATAACAGGTCAATAATATTTTGATTAATATTTATTATTTATTTTGCTATTCCATTAAAATCAATAAATCTAAATTCAAGCAAATAGTCTAAATGAATAGACAAAAGTCAACCTAATGAATAGGTTGGGTGGTTATTTTCACAAATATTATTTCTCATATTTTTTTACTTCGAAATTTTATTAATGTGTATGAACTTATAAACTCAAAATTTTTGAATAATTTTAAGTTCTATAATAAATTACTTAACCAAATAAATTAAAATAATTAAATATTACAGAATTTAATTAGGTTAGAGAATGTATCTAATATAAAAGTTCAGAATATTCTAATTGGAAATTAATTGAGATATGCAAATGGTTCAAATAAATTAAAGAAGTAAACTTTTAAATAAACTTTTCAATTTCATCAATCATATAGATTTATGTTTGCGAAATCTAATAAATTAGATTTAACCTTATTTATTAAATCATATAATTTTTGTTTAGATAATTGATACTTCTTATAAAATTAAATCTATTATAGCTCTTTCTTTATAAATATAAAACTCCATGATTTGTATTATAATATAAAATATCCTTAATTTTAATATAATAAATCTATATTATATATAGGAATCTTCTTACTGTAAATTATTTTTATTTGTGTTTAAAAATATCTAATGGAAATAGGAATAAGAAAATGAAAAATTGAAATAAGTAAAACATAAGGATGATATGAAAAATTCATATTTATTTAACTAGATATTAAAAAGTGTGAATATTAATTTAAATATAAATAGAATAACAAATTTAAATATTATTATAAATATTAAACTAACAAAATAGATAATATTGATGATCTTATAAACAATTAAAAATTATATTAGATATTAAAAATAATTAATTGAAAAATTAAAGGCTTCTGAAATCAATTCCTCATGTAAAATAGAATATAGAAATTTAAAATCATGAAATGGGAGTTTTAAAAGATCATTATTCAGATATTAAAATAGAAATGATGAGCAACAACATTTGTTAGAATGTAAATAAAATACTATCAAAATCACTTAATATTTTAGTTGATTAAAATGAAGTCCTTGGAGTATCAAAAGGAAGCTTTGGAATTAGTTTTAAATTTATAGATAATTAATAATATTAATTAAGGATGTCTTTTGTATTACAAAAAAAAAGAAATGAAAATTTAAGAATTAACTCTTTCTTCTGATGATTTTAATCCTTAATAAAATATGAATATGGATGATTCTTCAAAGAAAAAATCGATAGGACCTCCTAATCATAGATATGAATATTATTTTCTAATTTGGTGTTATGGATTTGGATTAAATGTATTAACAATTAGGAAGCATGGGCACAATTTGATGGCTATCCTAATAGATTGAGAATTTTGTATAATAGTATTGATTAATCTTTTACCAATTTAATTGTGGAAAATAAGTTTGAAACCTTGTGTCAATAGGTATATGAAAAAATGGTTTATAATGTTAAATTTGAAAATATATTGGCGTAGGGGAGATAATATAATTATCCATCTATTTTATATTGCCTCTGGATTTAGATAAAGAATTTGCTACACATTCTTTATGTCACCAGTAAATCAGAAGAAAACAAAACATTCAGGATCTTATATGAAAAATTTAAATATACTTGATTTAAATGACTCAAAAAGATATTAGATAGAATAATAATATTTGAAAAAAATGAAGGAATTATAAATTAATGGCACATATTTAGAATTATACTTTAATTAGAAGATAATATGATTACTTCCAATATAATATATATATACAATTAAATGTATAATATTGGATTATATTTTATACTTCTGTTTAAATTATTATTAACAGTTATAAATTCAACAAAAATTAAGAATTAATATATACTTTAGATATGACAATATTTGGTTAAAATTGCTAAATTATTATTAATTCATAATAAAAACTTATATCTCGAAGATTATAAAATATGTAGCATACAGAATATATTGAGTGATTAAAGAAGCCATTTCAACCTATCCAATTGTATACCCACATTTATAAAGATCTAATAAATAATAATATATATCAATGATGAAATATCCATCTTAACATTACTCAATAGATTAAAAATAAGAACATTATTACAATCCTAAATTCAATTGAAATATTACTAGCATTATTCTTAATAATATGATTATTGATTGAACTATATGAAATGAATAACTGTTCATATATAATTCTAATTGTCGCAATACATCAAATAAACTTTTTGAGAGTAAATTGAAATTTTCAATAAGGATTTGATTTATATCATTACAAAAATCAAATTTATAGCTTAATTATATTATTAAATGTCTAGAATGAATTGCTCACAGTCAATTGAATTAAAATAAGTGAAGTCAAAATTATTTTCGTAATATTTCACTTTTTTAATATAAAATAAATATAAAATTCACAATTTTAGTTAAATTTGATTTATAATTAATAATAATTTATGCAATTTAATTTGTTGAGCTAATGAAAACATTCTAGTTTGAGATGTTTGTTTTTTATTCAGTAATATGTATCAAATATTCAATTGTAATAGTATAAATTTATTCTTATAAAAGTAATAATCTCTGAATGTAAAGAGTTATGTAGACTCTGGACAATATCTTAAAAATATGAAAAAATGTATAACTGTCATCTTTCTTAAAATTACCAAAACCATAAAGGCTAGATTTAATAGAGCATAAAATACAATTTTTCTAATACTTTTTAGAATAAGGAATTTCAGTTATTATAATATTTGCTGTCCATATCAACTTGTTAATTTTACTAACTAAATCTTATAATTAACAATTCATAAATTATTTTTTGCATAATTGTTTATAATTAAATTTTACACGTTAAATAATGTTAAAAATGAAACAATATTTTTTATAATAGGTTTAATTTGAAGTTGGAACTTATTTATTAATTTTTGATTGATTTTAAGAATCTAGCAAAATTAAGTTATATATATAATTCAATAGTTTAGTAAAATATTTCTGTTATATAATTGTTTTTATAATTTAAGAATCTCAAAATTAGATAAAAAATATTAGTAAATAGAAAATCAGTTCTATTTCTTGTTGAAAATAATTAATTTAAGAAGAGCAAGGATGTCTATTTCTATAAAATATATTAGAAAATTTTAACATCTCTGTATTAAAATATATAAAAAGGCACTATTTTTATTTTGATCAGATTAAAATTTTTGATATATTCATAATTTAGGTTTTATATTATTGAATCAGAGGTAAATAGAATATAATAACAGTTGAAATGGAATACTTTAAGCAAATGTTCGAATATCACCATCATCATAAAAGCCTACTCTTTAAAAAAATGATAATTTCTTCATCTGGACAACATAATCAGTTGAGAGAACAGATTTAAATTCCAAAGACATCATTAAGGAGTTTATTAATTACTATTGGGGATTCTCCTCCTTTAGAGTAAATATTATGGATTTATTTGAGATTATAGTAATATTTTATTATTCATATTTAA